CTATTTTATTTTATACTTCTCTGTTTTTTCATTCCATGTTTTGTATGTGATTAACACACTCACTTTTTCTTTTCTTTTTTTTTTTTTTTTTTTTTTTGCTGAGGAAGATTAGCCATGAGTTAACATCTGTTGCCAATCTTCCTCACTTTTTGCTTGAGGAAGATTAGTCCTGAGCTAACATCTGTGCCAATCTTCCTCTACTTTATATGCGAGTTGCCACCACAGTGTGGCTGACAAGTGGTGTAGGTCTGTGCCCAGGATCTGAACCCGCAAACCCGAGCCGCCGAAGCAGAACGTGCTGAACTCAACCTCTACACCACGGGGCCAGCACCATCTCTTTTTCTAACTATACAAAACCTATTCATCCCTCATGTTCTAGGTAAAAGAGTTTTATAAAACTCTCTCTGACCACTATATAGTGGTGCTTCCCTTCTGACATATTTATATTTATTAGCTTGTCTTCATAATGATAGCAGAGAATTCTGGATTATAAATGTCACGAAACTTAGATTCCATTGCCACCTCTGCCACTAACTTGTATAATGCTGGGCAAGGCCATTTAACATCTCTGGGTTTCAAAATTTGTCCTTTATTTTAACACTAGGAACCCCAACAGTATTGTGTTCCACACAATATGAGAAAATATGTCTTGGGGAATGTATTTTAATACACATATAATATTTATAAACGAATGGTTTAAAAATATAGTTGTTAACTCTCAGGTATTTGAAGAACCCACCCCTCCCACACTCTTCACTGTACCCTCTTTTTTCTTTTTTGTGAGGAAGATTAGCACTGAGCTAACATCCGATGCCAATCCTCCTCTTGTTGCTGAGGAAGATTGGCCCTGGGCTAACATCTGCCAATCCTCCTCTTTTTGCTGAGGAAGATTGGCCCTGGGCTAACATCCGTGCCCATCTTCCTCTACTTTATATGGGATGCCGCCACAGCATGGCTTGATAAGCGGTGCGTTGGTCTGCGCCCAGGATCCGAACCTGCGAACCCTGGGCCACCAAAGTGGAGCGTGTGAACTTAACTGCTACGCTACTGTGCTGGCCCTCACTGTACCCTCTTTTTAAGTAAAATGTACAATAAGTAAAGACAAAATTCAGCACAATTCAATCCAAAGAAGTTACAAAGTCTTACTCTTCAATTTTAACATTGTTAAAATTATGGTAGGTGATAAGAATAAGAGCTGAGAAGTAGAATCATACAGAATTTAAAAACCAGACTTGAATCTTTCTTTAAACTCAAGAATAGAGCTCTTATTCCCTACACTTATCTGTCATAGCTGACTGAGGGCTCTGTGCTCACTGACATTCTTGAGCTATTTCTCTCCCTGCTTTAAACATAGGGTAGTTTCTCCTATGACCCTGCTTGTTTCTCTGGAGAGTTTCACATAGGGGCTTCTGTATAATAACTTTTGCTCTCATTAGCGAAGGGCTACACAGGAAAGTGAAGAATGAAGAGGGAGGCAACATTCACAGAATATCAACAGGCTTCAGATTAAATATACCTTGTTTCCTTTGCTAAATTCCCAGCCCAGATTTCCATTAGAAGAGTTATAAAATCTTTCCTCCCACATTCCACCTCTGCCTTCTAAACCATTTACTCTGGGCCTCTTCAATATAGCACTCTAAGACTGTGAAAGTCTAGATTTGTATCAATCATATTTTAAAAAAATTGTTCTCATTTTACGTGAGGTATTTTGATCCAAGAAAGGGATACACACTAGAGATTTGTATATTCTCAGAACTTCCAATATCATGCTTATAGTTTTGTTGTTCATTATATGCTGTTTTCAAGGTACATTTTGGAGTTATATGTAATATCAACATTAATTATTAGGAAATGTCTACCACAAATCAATAGCGTGGGCCCCAGACAATTAAATATTAGCATATCAACACATGAGCCTTTCACTGGTCTTTTGGCCCTTAGAGTTAAGTAATGGCAGCGTCTACAGTATATCAAGTAACCTTTTTTTGTATATAAAAGTACAACAATAGGAGAAGAGAATGGACAGAATTATAGTCCAGAACAGCTCAGGGTCAAAAAATGACACATACACAAAAAAGCTCCTTTTACCTTAAAATATTTTTTAGAGCTCATTAATACACTTGGAGGCAGGGCCAGAGCCAGTGGTGGGTAGGAAACAAATCCTAAACAATCTGGTGAGTTTGTACCCTAGAGTTTCAGGCCTGCCCTGTGCGTTTAGAACTCCTGGATGCATCCTATCTCTTCTCAGAAGTTAATTTTTGTCTTCTTTATTTTTTTTATTTTTTATTTTTTTGTGAGGAAGATCAGCCCTGAGCTAACATCCATGCCAATCCTCCTCTGCTGAGGAAGACCAGCCCTGAGCTAACATCTACTGCCCATCCTCCTCCTTTTTTTTTTTTTTTTCCCTTTTTCTCCCCAAAGCCCCAGCAGACAGTTGTATGTCATAGTTGTACATCCTTCTAGTTGCTGTATGTGGGACGCCACCTCAGCATGGCCGGAGAAGCAGTGCATCGGTGCGCACCTGGGATGCGAACCCAGGCCGCCAGTAGCGGAGCGCGTGCACTTAACCGCTAAGCCATGGGGCTGGCCCCAATTTTTGTCTTCTTTAAAGGTGTATCTGCATCAGGATAATTTTTAGGTGCTTGTTTATATGAAAGGATAGGTTATTGTCAGGTCCAAATTCAAATAACCACCCCCCTCTTTTTTTTCAGTGGGTTCTTTCTATTCCCTTCCTGGGGCTGGAGCCTGGGTCAGGGTAATATTAGGTAACCTGTGACGCTGGCTTTACCAGCATGGGTTCTAAGTTGGCTGGTTACTTAGCTATGGACTTCTCTAGAACTAAACATCCAGGTAAATACAAATGGTGAAGACTTTAAAAAGAACGACATTTGAAAATATGTCTAACAGCCTCTACTCCAATGTCTTCAGAGAAAGAAAAAAAATCAGGAGGAAAGAAGAGAACTTCAAAAGGTGAGATGACATAAAAGCTACTATGTTTCAGGTTACTGGCAAGATTCTATGTCCAAGGTTTGGACCACATTGTGTCCAGTCTGAGGCCAAGCTGGGGTTTATAGGTGTCAGAGGATACCTTGTGAAATGGTACAGCAGAATCTCTTCAAAAGCACTTTTGAAAATGTGGGGAAAGCACTCATCTTAAGAGAAGAAGGATCTAGGCATAATGAATTTTACTCAGTGACAAGGTAAGAGAGAAAGTGGTAATTATGGATGGCAGATACATTATGGTATCTGTCACTCAGATTTGTCTCCACTAGGTTGATGTCTGAGTATTTCTAAAAGCAGGCACATCTCTGGTGAACTAGAAATAGTGCCTGGTGAACGATGGCCAAGCAGCAGTGTTGCATGGTAGTGGGATGCTCACAAAGAGCAGAATTGCTTTTGTGAAACAAAAGTTGGAGATTCACAGAAATACCTAGGGAATTTAGCAGAGGGCTGAGTTAACTTAGCAAACTGGGTAATATACTCTTAGAGATGGGCAACTATAGTCAAATGTGCCTGCCTTTGTACTTACAAGTGGGTAAAGCCTGGAGAAACGAGTTACATAAGGATACAAAAATCAATATAAAAGTCTTAGAAAACAATTGTACTTAAACTTCAAAGAATCACTGAGTGCTAATTCTGACATTCTAAGAATCACCGAGTGCTAATTCTGACATTCTAACTCTCCTCACCCATGTTTTCCCTATCTTTCCTGAAACAAGTAGAAGTGTGAATAGGGAGAACACCATCACTGTTACTTCCACTAGGATAAAGCCAACACTATTAAAAAAGACCCCTGTAAACTTAACATACACATAGGGGAGCAAAATATTTATCCTATTGTAATAGGCCTTCCAGGAAAATGTCTATCCCTAAAAGACATAGACATCTCCATAATTCTTTGGCTTCTGAAGAATCAGATATATGAAAATTATGGTGTTAAATTTCTGTCTCTTTAGCAACAATCCCACCTAGTTAGTACTCCCAAAATTCATATTTGTATAGTAACAACTTCAAAATAAAATCCAATACTTACTTGTCTCCCACAATTCCCAAGTTGATTGTGGGGTAACCATGTTCCTGAATTGTTGCTAAGAGGGTTGAACGATTGCTGTCTCGAATCTTTCCTGGTAAGAGGTCATCTTCGGGATTTAGCAGCTACAAAGCCAGAAAAACCACCACAAATTATTCTCTTAGTATAATGTTGCCTATTATTAATGGAAAAAAATAGACCTAGTAAATAGAGTTTAGCATATCTAGCACCTACAACAGTACCTGGCATGTAGAAGATATAGCTCAAAGGATCTGTGCATAAATATTCAAAGTATAGAAGGATGAGAAAACATTCCTCCAGAATTAAAAGATGTGCCGAAATTTAAATGGTGACTAAACAGCAGGCCAAATATCACACCAGCTTTGACTACGATTTGACCAATAGTGCTCTGGAGATACTGGCCTTCCCAGTGGTTCCTCACTGGGGCAAACTAAATAAAACAATTTTCTTTTTTCCTCCCAATATTATTTCCCAATTTGTCTTTCACTGAGAACATCTGAAGTAGAGACTGTGTGACACGATACTCTTAAATCTGAAGAGAACAATCATTTAGCTTTTCTCTCAAGCTTTTTGATCTCTTTTCTGAAGTGGGATCAAAAAAGTTAAACTTATCTGAAGGACAGGGAGACAGATGTCTCTTTACTAGCAAACTTAAACAAGTAACACTTAACTAAACATACCCACAAATCCATGACTCTTAATTGAATCACCCTTTAGAGACAATATCTACTATTATATGTCTATGAAGAAAATTATAAGAAGGTTATTCTACGTTAGGATGTTCCAATGAGACAGTGAGACAGTGTGGTACAGTAGGAAGAGCTTGAGATTTAGGCAAGTTTCAAATTCAAGTTGCCCAAACACATTATGCCTTAATTTTCTCATCTATAACATAAAGTAACAATAACTACCTTGAAAAGTAGTTTTCAGGGTTGAGATAATGAACACTTGGTAAATATAGATAAATACACAATAAATTTGATTGTCTTTTCTTTCTTTATGATATATGATATTGAAAGAGCACCTATTTTCCCCCTAATTGTTCTCATATTGTTACTCCTAGATGCTAGTATATATGGAATTAGCTTATAATGTGAACACAGATTTAGATTTATTAGATTATAAAATACTTAAGAGTAGGGGGTCCTTAACACACATGGACACACACAACATACAACTTTAATTTATGCATCAATTTTAAGATGTATTTTGATTTCAGAAATAATATAAAATGAAAAAAAAAAATACATCTTTGATGTGAGAAAATCCAGAATATTATTTTAGGAGGCTGAAGGCAAGCCTGCACATTTCAGATGCTTAGGCTGTTAATATGGCTAATATCCAGGGTTTCATATCTCAGTTCTACCAAACAAAAACCTCTAGCCCCTTCAATCTTCCTCCTGACTCACTGGTGAGACCATGTGGCCAGACCTTTGGCTTTACATTGGAAAAGTAGTAGCTTTGCAACCAACTGTCCCCTTACAATAGCTGGAGAAAAACTCTGATCGTCTTATTCAGTGTCACCTGGGAGTCTTCCCTTCAATATTGCACTAATTTAACTTAATCAGATGCCATGTGACATTGCAACCCACTTTCATCCTTAGTCACTGGCAGAGCTCGGAAAACTGCTATTGCAGTGCTAATATAGATTAATTTTCTAATCTTAATTAACACATGGTTATTGAAGTTACATAATTTTGTAAAGGCCAAAGCTTGCAGCTCTTTAACTCCATTAATCAGACAAGTTGCTTCCAAGAGAAAATTGTGTGGTTATATAATTTTTTTTTTCACGAAAGAGTACTGACCACCAACTGAGATTCCCCTGTTATTAGGGTGTTTTCTTTGCCATTCATGTTCCTCTCTGTTATTTTGCTGCAAACAGTTCTAGAAATAACAGAACAATTAGAGATCACTGGAGAACCAGTTATTTGTAATTGACATAGTGAAGTAATAGTTAAATAAGGGTGTGGGATTTACAGTGCATTTTAAGTATTTTCAAAGAAAACATAGAGAATTGAATAGAAGATTATAAGGCTGAATATAATCGAATAAATTCACAATATTCCCCTTTAAAACTGAATCTTATTTTCTGGTATACTTCTGGTCAACTCTGGAATGATGCCTGAAACTTATTACAGTTAAAACGCAAATAAAAAAAACACAAAACAAAGTAAAACAAAACATAACCCATTATCTCCATACCTTGTTCCTTTCCTATCTACCACATATTAAATTTCAATTTCCTGTTTCTGTTATTGTCAGTGGTACCACTATCTTCCCAGCTTTCAGACATTTAAGCTTTGATTCTTTTTTTTCCTTCGTAGTCCACCATCTTCCCAAAGGTCTCAATCATTAACAACATCTTAATCCGTCTCCTCCTTGAGCCTACGTTTTCATTCACTCTCTTACCACCCCCCTTCCCCAATTTCAGGCATTTAATATGTCTAAATTTCTGCAAAAGCCCTATAATTGGCTCTCTTGCCTCCAAACTCTTTTCTTCTGAGAAATAAAACAGAAACATCAACTTGCAAAACTGTACTATTACTTGCATAACAGATAAACTGTATCAAACCAGGACATGTAACTCAAACTATCTTAAAAATCTTATCAAATTGTCTTAACACAAGCTTGTTCAGACCTATATGCTCCAAGATAAGACCATGGACAAATTGAGACCATGGTAAACGCACATGGACTCATGTGCTCCAAAGTTAGGACTTACTGTTCCAGCAACTCACCTATTTTACAAAATCTGACCAGTCTCTGCCTAGACCTTACTTAAAACTTCTACCTGAAAACCACCCAATGACCAAACCCAATCCTCTAAATCCTGTAAGTATCCTTCTGTAACTTCCCTGTTTTGAGACACTACTGAGACTCTGTCAAGGTGATGCTCTCCCTTGCTCAGAAACTTTAATATATCCAGCTTTGTATGATCAACAGGTTTCCCTCGTGGTCTTTGTATTAGACCTTTGATAGTCATGGAGGTCCCACCAAGACTTAGGTAAGACCTGTTGCCACCAGTATTCTCATACTGGTTACAGTGCACTTTACTCAGGTCTCTTAAGCCTCTTTGCTCAGGTGATTATTTGTTTATGATCCTAAGTCCAGCACTTTATGTTAAACTCTGATCCTTTTTTGTTGCACTCCCAAAGCTAACTGATATTTACTTTGTTTGTTGTAAGAAAAAGGTTCCCAGGATTTTTTGGTTATCTGACCGAATTTATACTAATTTCTGTTTTCTTTGGTGAAGGTGTGCTAAAGCATGGATTTGATACTAACCATCTTGTTTGGCTACACTGTTTTGTGTCTGTAAGAATGTTTCTTAGTTTATGTTTGAGAAATTGGCTTTGGAACAGATCTCCTCTCTACCCATTCTGGCCTGCTGATTTTTAGGGTCAGCTGTCAGGGGTTCAAACTTAGTGTTAAGGACTTTAGACATAATATATAAGCGATATTTTCCCTTTTGACGGACCCTTAGGTAATTAATTCATGGATTCAGCTAACAATAAACTTGTGCTAACTCCTGGCATAACTCTGGGTTCTGTTTTATCTTTCTTGCATTTATCTTTCTAAAAAGCATAATTTCATCAAGGACAATTTGAATTGCAGTAGTCATTTTGGAGTGCTTTTGACATGACCACAATCATTCATTTGAAAACACTTTTAGAACAAAAGGGGAACACAATTCTGAATATTCACTGATTACCATTTTTATTGTTATGCAAAGATTCAAAATGAAATTTAAATAAAAACATAAAAAAATTCAGTTCTTTTGTTAAACCCTCATGAGAAGGTTTTATTTATCTAAAAGAGAAATCACTTAGTTTATTGTAAGAGACCTCCCTCTTTGTTTCTGTTCTTCAGAGATTTAATCCTATGGTTGTAACCATGGGCCCATTTAGAGCCAGTTTGAACAGACCCCACCTCTTATCAACAAAGTGATTAAGGATTGTCTTTCAGAAAAACTGCAAAGTCACGCAGCCAGGGCATGCACAAAAGAAGAAATCATGACCAGAAATGACTTTGGAACCAAAGAGCATCCTGCTACAGAACCCAAGGACCAGGACGTGACTGGAACTTGAAAGCCGGACTAGTATCAGAAGCGAGGGGTCTCGCATTCAGGAAAATCCGGTGTTAAAATTCCTTCCCAGTTTCATCATAGATGTTTAGAACCTCATCATAAATGTTTAAAACCTTACCATAAATACCTGAAGCCCACCAATGGAAAGCTGTCCCATCAGCATTTCTGCGTGCCAACCTGTTCTCCCTAACCTCTTAAATTTTGTCCCAAATCCTGAATCGGGGAGACAGATCTGAGGGCACACGCCCCCTGTCTCCCTGGAGATCCACTTTGCAGAATAAAAATCTGATTCCTCCCCTCAAAGGCTGGTGCCATAATTAATTGGCTCGTTTATGCACATCGGGCAGAGAACCCCAATTTTGTGCGGTAACAATTGGTGACCACGAAGGCACGAGGTCCTGTGACGACCTGCCCGAGGCTCTGGAACCCCTGGCTGGGTGTGGGGTCTTTTCATCGACCCTAAGCGGCTACCTAGACAATTTCGTCTAGAGGCTCGACTGATTGGATTCCTATTTCCCCACTGCAGCGCTCCAGGCCCAAAGGCGTTTTTTTTTCCTTTGGGAGAAGAAAACAGCTCCAGGATCAGATGTCTTTTGGGTGAGTGACCTTGTTAAAAAGTGCCTGTGCCTAAAACTGTCTAATATTTTCTCAGGATTGTGGGTTAGAGGCCCCACTGGTGAGATTTGGTTGCTGGGTTAAAGTCCCAAGGCAAGGGAGACAATATAAAAGGGTTACAGCCGCTGGGGTACTCAAATGGATTGGGTTCGAGTCGGGAGCTCTGGGATAGGGTCCCAGAATACTGGATTTCTGTGTCTATGTTTGACTGTGTTATTTGTTAAAATTGGCTGATTGGGGACTGAATTTCTCGGTGACCATAACAAACTGCCTTTTAGACTAATCTTATGAGGGTCTTCTGACTCCGAAGAAAAGAGGCACTGTTCTCTCTGGTCCTTTGGGACGTTCCCAGGTGACTGGGGACTTTACAGAGGTGTCGGGGTGACTGCCCATGACCTACAACAG